GTTAAGGTGGCAAACACCTGCCTTTACCAGTTGTGGCATAGATTATTAAAGCAGGGAGGTTTTGTTGGAACTGTACGTAAAACTTTGGTTAGGCCACAACTGGAGTACTGTGTACAGATTTGGTCTCCGCACTACAGGAAGGATGTGATTGCACTTGAGAGATTACAGAGAGGTTCACCAGGAATTGGAGCTGTTTAGCTCTGAAGAGAGGCTGGATAAGCTCAGGTGGTTTTCTTTACAGCAGAGAAGGCTGACAGGGTCCTGGTTGAATTGTATCATGATTATGGGGGGCATGGACATGGGGGATAGAAAACAGCTGTTCTCTTTAGTTGAAGGGTCAATAACAAAGGGACATCATTTTAATGTGAAAGGCAGGAGGTTTAGAGGAGATTTCAGGATTTTGTTTTCATCCAGAGAGTGGTAAGAATGCACTGCTTGGGAGGGTATTTGAGGCGGGAAACCTCACAACCTTCAAAAAGCACTTGAACAAGCATCTGAAAATATCATAAAAGTGAAGGCTATGGGCCAAGTGCTGGAAAATGGGACGAGCATAGATTTAGAGCAGTTTTTGTCAGTGCAGAATCCATGGGCCAAAGGGCCTCTTATGCGTACTGTATGATTAGATAGTTCTATGATTAACAAGATTCCTCTCAAACCCAAGATGAAATTCTATTACATTATGACTACTGTTCCACAGAGATGTTTAACTATAAGAAAATTAATAAATGCAGTCTTATCAGACAATGCAAGGTCTAAAATAGTCTAGTTCCCTAGCTGTTTTTTCTATATATTGTACTAGAACACGCATTCCATCCAGTTGTCTTCTTCCACCACCATACTTCTGCAACTCAGCTTATCCATAAGATGATTATGGACATTGCTCTATTGTATAAGGCTTGTTTTATGCTCCTTTAATTCCTTAATTCATACTATGTCCAGCACTAAACCAAGTTTGGGGGCTTATACGGTCACCAGTGTTTTCTGACGTTTGTTATATCCACTCATACTGATTCAATATTCCCATTTTCTGGGCTACAATCCTTTCTCCCTACTGCCTTTGCCTCTAATCTTTATCATTTCTTTCTTACATCGTTTATTATCAGGGCCAACCTGCCTCATTCTCCATAAGACGGTTACAGCACAGAAGGAGGCCATTCAGTCCATTATCTCTGTGCCAACTGTCTGCTGGTCTCATTCCACTTTCCTTCTCCTATACCCTGGTACAAATTCTCTCTTCACCTTAGAAAATCCCAGTGATATCAGTCATTGGCACATTCTCTGCCAGTACATGCTCACTGTGTAAAAAAGCTTCTCCTCATGTCGCCTATTGGCTCTTTTGCCAATCACTATAATTGGAGTTGTGTTCTCAGCCCCTCCACCAATGACAACAGTTTCTATCAGCTCTGTCTAGAACCCCATGATTTTGAACACTTCTATCAAACCTCCTCTCAATGTCTGAGGAGAACAATACCAGCTTCTCCAGTCTATTCATGTAAATTAAGTTTCTCATCCCTGGAATAATTCTGGTAAACCTTTCAGCACCCTCTCCAAAGCCTTCATATCTTCCTAAAGTGTGCTCAATAATAGAAAAAATACTTCAGCAGTGGAGTTTTATAAAATATCATCATAACTTCTTTGTTTTTATACTCAATGCCACCACTTATAAAGTACACAATCGCATAAACCTTTTTAGCCACTTTCTCAAACAGCTTTGCCACCTTCAAAAATTGGCATGTACATATTCCCAGGTCTCTCTGCTCCTGACCTCCTCATAAAATTGTACTTTTTATTTTATATTGCCTCTTCTTGGTTTCCTAACAAAGTGCGTCACATCACATTTCTCGAGATTAAATTTCATCTGCTAAGTGTCCACCCATTCCAATAACCTATATCCTCTTAAAGTTTATCTCTATCCTCGCTTTTAACAATACATCCAGGTGTCATACGATCTGAAAATTGTGAAATTGTGCCCTGTACAGAGAAGTCTAAGTCATCATTGTAAGTAAAACATGGCCTCAGCTCCTGGGAACCTGATGACACATCTTCTACTCTTATAAACAATCGTGCACAACCTCCTCTTGTTTCCTATGACTCAGTCGACTTTGTATTCACACTGTTCACTGTCCCTTTTATTCCATGGGCTTCAAACCTGTCGGTAATTCCATTATATGGTACTTTATGAATTGCCTTTTGGGAATTCATTTATACCACACCAACTGCATAATTCATCTATCATTTCTGTTACTTCATCAAAAAAATTAAATCAAGATTTGTGGTAAACACATTACAGTTAACTAACAGTGCTACTATGTGTAATATTATCTACCTCTCAACCAGCAATGAGTAACAGTTCACAACTTGATTCATTGCCACACCACTTCAACACATTAAAGTGGTATATGAACAATAACTCTGGCAAATTAATAATAGAGCAAAGACTTTATGTTGAGACGAATGCATAGTATGTTAGAACTGACATTCCACTTTACAAGATTTGATGGGTAACCAGAATTATCGTGGATGCAAGCAGAAATATGTATCTGATTTTTCAGTAAGTGTGTTGATGTTTCTTCAAACATGAGCTTTTCATACAAAATCATTCAGTGTGAAGAAAAATCATTCTGAATTTTCACTTGTTATATATTTATTGTATTGATGACAGCAAACTCGCATTTGGATTACACGTTTCCAACTGCACAGATCAAATTTCTTAATGCAATAGCTTCGGCTAGTCCTATCATCCTGGTGCCTCCCTAGTTTGTCTATGTAGACAATACAGTTACTTAATAGGAATAAACTGTGCAAAAATTTTAGGTCCAGGAAATGTATGTAACCAATTAGCTTAGTGCATTACACAGCAAACATATCAAGCAAAATATTTAGGTAACAACCAACTAAAGTGCATCTTTACACTTGAAAATGTATCCTTTTGCAAGAAGATCAGACATTACAACAGGACTCTTTGTTCAGTTTTTAATCTGGCATACACTTAAAGCAGCATCTTGTAAGCATCAACAAGAAGTCTGGGCTGTTTCTAACAGAAAGTACAGTTTATTAAATGGCACAGTGCCAATTCACTCTGGTGACCTTTAATTTGGCACAAGTCTTCTTTACGAATAGTAATCTAGACTAAATAACTACATGGTTCCAGAAGTTAGATTCTTAAAAGGTATTTATGCAAAACGATCATATATATTTCTTTTGAAATACATTGCTTGTTTAACTTTGGAAAACAAGTTCTTGTTTCCTGGAGAACTCGTCAATCCTCTGTCCGTGTTCCAAGCTGGTATCTGACACGGAGTTCACAAAATATAACACAGGGAATGCCTTCTGGTTCCTTGAACTAGGTTTTACTGACTATTAGTACTCATCCCATTTTTTGTGCTTCCCATGAAGATGTTTTATCCTGCATTGCAGCACTAATATCTGGAAAAGGCCTTTGAGAGGGAAGTGAAAGTCTGAAACATGATGTGTCTATTGCTTAAGAGAGGGGCAAAGGTTCAATATTTTCATTTTTTTGCAGATGATTAAAATAAGGCTAAAAGTACTTCAATTCTGCGCTTTTTTATCACTTTGACAAATGGAGTAGATCAGGGTTTTAACTAATTTAGAATTATGCTTTAAAAAAAAAGACTAAAATGGCCACAGTTGGCAGCATAGCTTGGAACAAATCTTTTTTTTTAAAAGAGAATCCAGTGCTGACTTCTTTCGAGATACAAATCTATAGTTACATCTACCGAGCACGTGACAAATCATCACGTGTGAGTTCATTGAGTGGATGTCAGCAGCTATTCAACCGCAGAAGGATAAATAATTAGGAGCAGCAATAGACAAGGGGTCTCAAAGCCAAACTGCGATCATTTTGATTCTTTTCCAATAAGTCAGTTCAGGTTGGAAATGCAAGTGTCATTTCCATTTCAGACAAAGTAATTACCAGTTGAAAATCTAACAATTACAACTGAGAGCAATGGAGACTGTACCACTGAGGTGTCTCTGGACAAGAAGTGGCAATGCAAGACAACCATAAGCTGGTATCCAACACCGAATTGACAAGGAGTAACACAGGGAATGTCTTCTGGTGGCTTGAACTAGGTTTTAAACAATATTCACAGGACATTTTTGGAACCATGACCATTAAACTGTACTCATCTATCAGAATGTTTAGGAGAAGCTACAAAAGTTGAGATTGGCGGTTTTAACAATGGGAGCGATGGAGGCATCTAAGTAGGGATGTCCTGACAATTTAAATGACAGTGGCTCTGCCGATAATGGTCAGATAAATGTTTTGATGTTTATAATGGGAAAGTGGCAAGAAATACATTAAAATAGTTTTGGGAGTGACATAGCCACGTCTAGCTGTTTCTGCAGAAATGGGGCTGGATGTATGAAATGATCCCCCTCACTTATGTAAGGAGTAGTTACATGATTTTACAAGATATTTGATGCATGTATGCTGCACCCACTCCCCACAACTGTTTGTCTTCAGTTTTACTTTGTTTCTTCTATTGATGCAAAGCTATTCCATTTCTCAGCATTCTCATCATCTCTATGAAAAGTCCTATGCAAAATTTTAATGTTCTTGAAGGTCATATTTAGCAGATGCAAATACAACTGATGTGAGGTTAGTTCTTAAGGCCATGCATTTTTGTTAACAAATTGTGACTATTTTAAAACAGAACATACTGCATTCTTTTTAATTGTGTTTATGAGGTTCTCTATGACTAGAGGTGGGGACGGATTGCTGAGATAATCTGTCACTTTCTGCTCTCTTCCCAGACCAGTATTGCCCAGGAACGTGTTGGTACATTTTCCATTGACTGTGATGGCACCTCATGCACATACAGCATTTTATTTTCTCCTTTAATAAATTACAAAAGCAATCCACGCTGACACAACAACATCTGCTCCATTGCTGACTTAAACATGACTCCGTAAATCAGATTTTACAAATAAGCTTACTAAAAGATATCCGCTAAAAGCAATGCTTGGACTTAACTTACCGAGCTCTCCTGCAGTCTTAACGTCAATGTTATCATAACCACTGCCTATCCGTACAATTATTCGCAATGCTTTGAACTTTTCCAGGTCTTCTCTGGTCAGAGTGATATTGTGGTACATTAATGCCCCCACTGCCTCATTTAGAACCTACAGAGAAGGAGAAATTATTATTCAACTACAGCAAGTAGTCAAAAGAAGGCCAATTCATTGACAACTTCAGTCTCCACGAGTACCTGATTAGCGCCTCTCAAAGTTCAGTTAGAAATGGGCACATATTTGACATTCCAACACATCAGATATGAAATTATACAAGGAGCTTATTACGAGCATCCAGGCAGAGTCTGGCCAGAAAACACAGGGATGCTTTAGCAGCCATGGGCCCTCTTCTCTTCCAGCAAGTGTAGATCCAAAACTTAGTTTTTTTTTGCAGATTTTACATTTTCATTTTTACATTTACATGTGCGAGCAGCAAGTGTATTGCTCCAAATTAGAGGATATTAGATGTCCCATCTATATAGTCGCTGTCCTTTCCTTTGTTAGCAAATAAAATTGATTATTAATAAATTCTGGAAACCACATCAGAAGCACAGAAAATAGGATCACAGGAAATGGAACAGGTCATTCTGCAGCCCCCATTCCTGTTGCACCATTCATTGAGATCATGGCCAATCTGTGGCCAAACTCCATACCTGCATTTAGCCCATATCCATTGCTACATTTGCTCAACCAAAAATTATCTACCTCAGATTTAAAGTTAACAACTAAGCTAGCTTCAATTGTGGAAGACCATTCCAAACCTCTACCACTCTTTGTGTGTAGAAGTGCTTCCTAATATCTCTCCTGACCGAATTCTCAGACTAATGTCCCTAGTTGTAGAATATCCAACAAATGGAAATAGTTTACCTTTATCTACCCTGCCTTTTCCTGTTATTATCTTGAAGACTTCAAACAGATCACCCTTAACTTTCTGAATTCTAGAGAAAACAGGCCTAATTTTTATAATCTCTCCTTATAACTTAACAAGACTGTATTTAACTACCTACTATCTAGAAAGTACACCAATCAATCCTTTTCCAAACCAAAACTAATAACCTCACACTTGATTACACTGAACTCCATTTGCTACCATTTTGCCAATTCACTTAGCACAAAATTACAAAGGGATATTGATAGAATATCACCTACACTGCCTACGTCGCTGCCTAAACATGTGTCAGTAGCAAGTCTGGATATATGACTTTCTAAGTCATTATCCAAGTTGTTAATAAATAATGTAAATAATTGAGGCCCTAACACAGATCCTTGAGGGATACCACAAGTCATATCCTACCAACTTGAATACCTACCCATTATCCCTACTTTCTCCTGTCTGCCACTCAACCAATTATCCAGCCACATCAGTAATTTGCCTTTAATTCCATGGGCTTCTAGTTTAGTCAAGACTCTCTTATGCGGGACTCTATCAAACGCCTTCTGGAAGACAATATAAACAACATCCACAGATATTCCCCTATCCACGACCCAAATCACCTTTTCAAAAGATTCAATGAGCTTTGTCAGGATATCCTACTATCATGATTCCATACTGGCTCTCCCTGATTAACTGTACAATTTCAAGGTTTTCAGTTATCCGATTATTGATTATAGACTTCCACAATTTCGCCACCTTGGATGTTAGGCTAACTGCTCTGTAATTTCCTGCCTTTCTTCTTTCGTCCCTCTTAAAAAGCGGAGAAATGTGCAATATTCCAATCCAGAGAGAGACCTCCTGTATCAAGGGAACTCTGAAAGATTATAGCTGGGGCATATACAATGTGCTCCCCTAGTTCCTTTAACATCCTCAGATGGAAACCATCAGGTCCTGGGAATTTGACACTGTTTAATTCCATTAATTTCCTCATTACTGATGTTTTATTTAGGTTAATTTTACTCAGTCCCGAGTCCCGATCCACTACTAATTTCTCTGGCATTTCTGGCAGGCTATTTTCCCTTTCTACTGTAAGTACTGAATTAATTATTCAACATGTCTGCCACTTCCCCAAAGTCATTGACAATGTCCCACTTTCAGTCTTTAGCAGGCTTCTGACCACCCACTTTGCCTTTCTGAAACTGTAAAATTTATTCTTATTGATTTTAATGTCCCTCGCAAGTTTCATAATCCCTTTTAGTAGCTCTCACGGACTGCTTTGTGGCTCTTTGATGGTCTTTGCATCTTTCCCATTAGCAGCATTTGTACTTTTGCATTTTTGTAAGCCTGTTCTTTTAATCTTATGCTGTCCCTTATTTCTTTCGTTGTCCATGGCTGTTTATTCCGTGAAGTGAAGCTTTCCTATTTCAGGGATATGAACTGGTTTTACATTGCTAAATGTTTCTATAAATATTTTCCACTGATCATCAGTTGTTTTACCCACAAGCAGATTTTCCCAGTTTACTGTGGACAGTCTCTTACTCGGCTCATTACCTACATCTAAAATTCTAGTAGTTGATTCATGCTTTTTGCTTAAAAATGCTACATTGAATTCAATCACATTGTGATCACTAGTTGATAAATGCAATACAATGAAGGCAGTGTTGTAGAATTGCAGGAAGTTCTGTTTTCTTCCCCAAGCTGTAAACCATAGTTGAGAAGTCAAAACCATGGAGAGATTAGGCTGACAATTTCTTCATGATGTCATAGCCAATAAAGATTTTGTTATGAGTTATCTGCTAAAAAAATTATTTTATTTGTGAAAATGGACTGGAATTAGTGCAATTAGCACTACTAATAGGATTCCTTCAAGGGGTTAAATATTAACAGGTATTAAATGGACAAACTGGCTTAGAAATAATTGGCTCTATGAAGGTCTTGCCTGTAGAAGTCTTGCTGAAAGGAAATTGGGATAGATTGTTATATTTTTAGAGTATCACTAAACAGTTTACTCTTCTCAGTTCTAACTGTCAGTCCTGTAAAATGAAACCTCACTCTATACAAGCTGCAGTGTGACTTGAAATGTGCAACATCTGGCAATATACTGCTGCCCAGAGCCAAACAGAAACACTTGTCAGTCTATTTAGATCACTCAATTGACACTACACAGTTTGTCTTTGCCCAGACCTCAATTAGCAGCAGTGTAAACATAGTGAGTCAGCTTATAAACTGTGGATCAGATTTAATAAAAGTAATAAAAAATAATTAAAAGTCATAATTCCACTTTAGCTGGGAATCAATACAGCTAATTCCACTTGATTACAGAACTTTTAACTTCTCAGGTATAAAAATAACAAGAAAAAGACATTTTGCTAACTCTATTAGTTAAACTGAATGTGAACATGTAATGCATGAATGAGGTTCGCTCACCAGCAAAGAATCTATCTTTACTGGCACAGAAAACCGAATGTAGTTGGAAAGAGAGCTATGGGCTCCCTTTAATGTTCAAAACAGGAAACGAGCAACCATTGTGAGGAGTTTGCTCACAGTCCTGAGGACAATGTGGACAGAATGGTGAAATGGGCAGTCATGTGGCAAATTAAAATAAAGCAGGTAAGTGTGAAGTGATGCATTTTGAAGGATAAATGTGGTAGGACAATATAAATTAAGTTGAACAATTTTACAGGAGTTGGGGAAGGGGGGTTTCACATACACAACCAGGCTGAACAAGTTCAAAAGGCCTTTAAATCTAAAGCAATGTAGATAAAGAGCAAAAGCAAAGAAGTTATGTCTTGCTTTTTAAAATCACTAATTAGACCACAGCTGGAGTACTGTGCCCATATGTGGCACTTCACTTTATAAAGGATGTCATGGTCTGAGACAGCATGCATAGGAGAGAAACTAGAATGAGGGCCTTTGGTGGTGTGGAGAGACTGGACAAGCTTGGATTATTCTCAATTAAGCAAAGGAGATTAACAAGAGACTTAACGGAAACACTAAAAATCACGTAGTGTTTTGATCAAGAAAATAAGGAGAAACTGTTTGCATTGGCAGTAGGATTGAAAACAGAAGGACAGACATAGGTAATTGGGAACGCAAGGAGCACTCTTTTAAATGCAGTAAGACATTCTGATCTAGACACATGAAAGGATGTTACAGACAGATTCAATACAAATCTTCACAGAGGAACCTGGATATAAATTAAAAGGGAAAAATTAATGAAGAGAGGTGGAGAAAGCAGGTTAATGGGACTCAATGAATAACTCTTTCAAAAGCGTCAGAACAAGTGTGATGGACCGAGTGGCCTCTTAGCATCAGAGAGATGTATAGCATGGAAACAGACCCTTCGGTCCAATGCGTCCATGCCGACCAGATATCCTGAACTAATTTAGTTCCATTTGTCAGAATTTCGTCCATATCCCTCTAAACCTTTACCTTCCTGTAGCCATCCAGATATCTTTTCAACGTTGCAACTGTACCAGCCTCCACCATCTGCTCTGGCAGTTCATCCCACACATGTACCTCCCTCTGCATGGAAAAAGTTGCTCCTTAGGTCCCTTTTAAATTTTTCCCCTCTCACCTTAAATCTATGCCCTCTAGTTTTAGACTCCCCTACTCTGGGGAAAACACCTGGCTCTTCATCCTATTTATGCCCCTCATGATTTTATAAATTTCTATACGGTCAGCTCTCAGCCTCCAGGGAAAACAGCCCCAGCCTATTCAGCCTTTCTGTATAGCTCAAACCCTCCAACCCCGGCAACATCCTTGTAAATATTTTCATATTTGTTATCACATAGCCATTACACACTAGCTATTGTTAGTGACTCACCGTCCCCATTAACAACTCTTCATGCTCCTAGCCAGATTGTTATCATCTCCTTCGTCTACCTAACTGCTCTTCTCTTTCTTTGGGCTGTATCCTATCGTTTACCTCCTACCTCAACCCCTCCCTATTTTCTGCATATAAACCGACATATTCCCCAGCTACTATCAGTTGTGAGGAAGAGTCACTGGACCTGAAACGTTAACTCTGATTTTTTCTTCACAGATGCTGCCAGACCTGCTGAGCTTTTCCAGAAACTTCTGTTTTTGTTCCTGATTTACAGCATCCGCAGTTCTTTATGTTTTTAAATATTTTCTGAACCCTTTCAAGTTTCTCAACGTCTTTCCTATAGCAGGGAGACCAGAATTGCACACAGTATTCCAAAAGCGGCCTCACGAATGTCTGTACAGCTGTAACATGACCTCCCAACTCCTATATTCAATGCACTGACCAGTAAAGACAAGCATACCAAATGCCTTCTTCACTATCGCGTCCACCTTGGACTCCACTTTCATGGAACTATGGCCCTGTGCCCCAAGGTCTCTTTGTTTGGCAACACTCCCCAGGACCTTACCATTAAGTGTATAAGTTCTGCCCTGACTTGCCTTTCCAAAATGCAATACCTTACATTTATCTAAATTAAACTCCATCTGATCAAGGTCCCACTGTACAACGAGGTAACCATCTTCACTATCCACCACACCACCAATTTTGTTGCCATCTGCATACCTACTAACCATACCTCCTATGTTCACATCCAAATCGTTCATGTAAGTGACTCCTGCTGTGTCCAATGAAACTGAAATCTCCTCAACTCCATCTGGTTGTTAGACCCAAATCCATTCCTCTGACTCCAAGTATCAACTGACTCATTTCAGAACAAACCAAGCACAGAATCTATAAGATGCATTTGATGAAAGATTACAGAATCTGAAATGTTGATTCCTCCCAACACATTTACCTCAAGAGCATCTCTTGCATTTTCTGTTTTTATTTCAGACATCTAACAGCATATTATTTTGCTTTCAATTCACAGAAGGATTTGTCTTGATCCCAGAAAGGCAGAATTTCCTCTGCAGTTTTCCCTGTGCAACGTGTGTGTGAGTGTGTGCGCGCGCATGTAGGAGATGGGTGTTGGTTGAGGGGGTGCAATAAAGAAAAAGAAAGATATTAGACAGCTAGGAAACCTTCTCACAACCACCAGGACCCTCCACCAAAAGCCTGGTGGAAGGGACAGTCATAGGGAGGGCTGGGGGCAAAACATATCCACCTGAAAACAGCCAGTCATTTTTTAAAATAACAGATGAAACAGGAATCTGTCACTTTGTGCGCCTCTTTCCATTTGCTCCATATGTATATGAAACATCACGACATTTCTTGCATTTCTAATGCACACAAACATACAAATCAAGAGCAGAAATAGGCCTTTTGGCTCCTCCACTTTAAAATATTAAATGGCCCTGTCCCTAAGGGAGAGTGTTCTAAAGGTGCACTGTTCTAAAGGTGCACTGTTCTAAGGGAAAAAAAAGTTTCCTCATTCCTGTCCTACAATGGCAACAGCCAATTATTAAATAATGCCCCCTAGTTCTGGACTCACCCACAGGAAGAGCTATCTTTTCCACGTCCACAAGACCGTTGAGGATCTAACAGGTCTTTAAGCAAGTCATCCCTCACTTTTCTAAACTCCAGCCGAAATTAGCCCAATCTGTCCAACCTGCTCATTCCAGGTATGAATCTAGTAAATCTGTTCTGAACTGCCTCCAATGCATTTACATCTTTTCTTGAATAAGGAAACCAAAACTGCACATCAAACTTGGAATGTGGTCTCACCAAAGTCCTGCATAACTGATGCATAAAATTGTTACGTTTATGTTCAATTACTTTCACAATAAAGGACGGAATTCCATTAGCTTTCTTAATTACTTGCTTTTTCTGCATACTAACTTTATGTGAACAGTAGAGCAGTAGAACACTTAAGTTGTTCTCCATCTTGAAATTCTGTGCATGAACTGCAATAGTTCAAGTTGGCAGTTCACCACCATCTGTTGAAAGGTAATTAGAAACGGAGAAGAAATGATGGCCTCATCAATGACACTGACATCCTTTGAGCAAATGGACGTTTTAAAACCCTCAGTATCCTGTCATTTGCGCACATACCTCACTTGTGGGAATTCAGTGTGTCTGTGTCTGTTAGGCCAATGTATCACTGAAGTACCTGACTTAACTCCAAACTTCACCACTCTCTGGAGTCACACCATTTTCACCTTAAAAGGACTGCAGAATTTCAGGTAGTTCTTACTCAACAGTGTTTACATCATTTGTTTTTATTCATTCATAGGATGTAGAGGTCGCTGGCTGAGCTAGCACATACTGCCTATCCCTGGTTGCTCTTGAGACAATGATGTGGAGCTGCCTTCTTGGTCTGCTGCATTTATTATGATTAAATTGTCATCACTTCCTGGGCAATTAATCAACAGAGAATTAAATACTTGACACTTGTCTTAGCCAATCATTTGGCCTCAGATATACCTGCAAAGGAGACAAAACTAACCTATGTAACCAATGCAAACTCAATCTGCTCTAAACTTGGCTAATACATTTAAATTTTGAAAAGAGGCTTGTTTTATTTCACATTAAATTGTTTTATTTTATAATGTAGTCTGCATTCCTTTAGCAGATGTGCAGCAAATATTAGAGAACAAAAATCTGGTATTATTTTCTGGTAGTCAAAAGTCAAAGTGACCTACAGCTATGAAAACTAACTGCAATTTATCAAGGTCCCATGAAACAAATTGCAGAACATAAAGAATGTTGCTACCACAGTTATCAGAGTCAAATATTCTACAAATTGAAGTCTCCTTGCAACAAATATACCCTGGGAAACTCCCTGCTTTATTTGAGAAACCAATTCTAAAGCAGCAGCACTTCGTGAATCTGTTTAGTACGCATATTTAAATCAAATCTCCCGCAATGAATCATTTTTATAACCCAGACTTGTCACAAAGCATCCTTTTCAGGAGCCAAGACTAAACAACCAGGATGGAGATTTCTCCCAAATCCATAGGAGAAAGGACAGCCATAGTATAATCCATCACAGAGCTGTTTGTACATTGGAGAAAGATTCAGACACATTCACAATAGGTTTTGCCAAGGAGACTATCAAGTAAAAGAGATATTATAATTGACTGTAATCTTTGTCTAAGCGTTTCAATTTTGAAAAATCTGTAATGTAGGTGCTGCAGTACAGTCAGCAAAATGGCTGAAGGAGACCAACTGTGGTAGCTTTTGTATTTGGATAATTTGTTGCATTTTTGAGAATACATGATTTCTTCCATTCTAAAACACACTCTACACTGCAAGGAGAGCAGAAAGTGTAATGGAAAAAGAAATGGCCAAAACAACTGTAGAAAAAGCGTGAAAGGGTTAAATCGAAGCAAATCAAGTCACAAAATATTAAAAAATACAGGTTACCAATAATAACCGATTCACATACGTGCCAATTTGAGAGATTCTGGGGGCGGGGCTGAGGCTAAAAGATGTACTTCAGAAATTGAATTGAAAAGCTTTGTATGCTAAAAGAACCATGTTGGTCTCACCCTGCAGAATTATGTCACCTGGTGCATCAGCCTGATCCTTGCTTGAGCTTCCTAGTATGGTCTAAGGCTTCAGGTCAGAGTTACTGCATGCAATTCATGGTATTAGCTTATAGGGATGTGCTCCTTATTAATTAAGCCATAATTTGTTTGTTTTATTGTTGACAGGCTGAGGATTTTGAAATTTGTTCTTCGAATAAACAGCCATTACAGGAATCAACGGCTATTGCTAAACCCATCTCAAACGTTCCTTAATCTGACAAAAACCCCTACTGGTGAAGAAGGGGAAGTGGACACAACGCTAGAAGGAGAAAATGGGACATATCAGGACTGTTTTACCTTGTCCTTCTTGAGGATAAAACTGAATGCAGTACTACCTTTTCATGAATCTCCTGAGTAGATTGCGCATCACAGAAAGCAACAGTTGCCATGTCCTTCAGGATTGGCATCTCCACGGTACAATCTCTGCCATCTAGCAGTGCCACCAGGGGGCGTGGGTGCATTGGTCCATTCATAATTTGTGGACGGATACCTGCAGAGAAGAAATTAATGCCAACCATTATTAAAGGCCAATTCAGACTGGGATGAGATAAGATTATCTCTTCAGCAAACGGAAAAGCATCCAAATAAACCAACAATAAAAGGTATCACCAAGAAAAAAATGCTGGAGATCTAAATTAAAGATAACTGTTCAGCAAAATATTGATGAGAATTACAACCAAAGTACAACGTTCAAGGTTGAAGGATTTTACTCAGGTTTTTATTCAGTAAGGGAATCAAAGGTTATGGTAAAATGGCAGGGAAGTGGAGTTGAGGATCATCAGATCTCACTTAATGGCAGAGCAGATTTGATGGGCCAAATGGCATATTTCTGCTATTATGACTTATAGTACTGGTTTGTACGTTTTATTTTCCCCAAACAGTGTTGCAAAATATGATCTACAGAAATTTTGGAATTTCATGCAAGAAAAATGGAATTTGCTATTTTAAACTTGTGGCCTTGACAGGCAAACATTTCCTCATAGAGATGTTAGTAGCTTTTCCAGTTCTACATACTCTGTATTCTCAGCATGAAAAGTCTGAGGAGAGGACCTTTGTACAACAATTCTTGGTGCATAATTCAGAACATATCATAAAAATAAAAGTAGATGTAGCACTGGTATGACACCCTTCACATTGTGATTCTGGCAAGGGATCACATACCATTCAGATTTTCCGATCAAAGTTTTATCTGTCAGCAATGAGGGAGGAAAGTATTGCTGGATATGAGGAAATAACAAAGGATTTGAATGAATAAGATAAAGATTTCCCCTCCATATTTCCTCCTCATTCTGTGAATCTCATGGAATGTATGATTGCTGGACCTCCCTGACTCCTTTAGAGTACGTGGCACATATATTTAATCATAGGCAACAATATTTCCAAGTTCAAGAATCGCGTAGGCACAGAAACAGGAACCCTATGATTCTTTGTTCTCCCTAGTTGAGGCCACTTGGACAGTTGGCTGGGATCAGCTGACTTAGCACAGAAGAGTCAACCCAGGGACTTTCCAAAAGATATTTTAAAATATACTTTCTGAAAGAATATTTTTGAATCTTAAGTCTATCAGACAGCAAAGTCAGCAAAACTTATGTTGACTGTGAACTGATGTAGCACAACATCTGCATCGGAACATGCTCTGGGTTGAACATACAGCCTCTAATCCAGGCCCATGCAAGATGAAAATGTAACCTTTCCTGTTTGACTTTGGAAGAGAAAAATAAACCCAAATTCACATCCTGTTTGGACACGGATGATGGAGACAGCTATAAGGAAAGAAATACTGGCATTGGAGGCAGTCCAGAGAAGATTTACTAGGTTGATTCCTGGTATGGAAGGATTCTTTTTTCTTATAGAATCCCCACAGTGTGGGGACAGGCCATTTGACCCATTGAGTCCACACCAACCCTCCGAAGATCATCCCATACAGACCCATCCCCCTACCCTATCCCTGTAGCCCTGCATTCCTCACGGCTAACACACTTATCCTACACATCCCTGAACACTACGGGTAATTTAGCAAGCCTATCCACCTAGCCTGCACATCTTTGGACTGTGGGAGGAAACTGGAGCATCCAGAGGAAACCCACGCAGACATGGGGGGAACGTGCAAACTCCATACAGACAGTCATCCGAGGGTGGAATCGAACCCGGGTCCCTGGCGCTGTGAGGCAGCAGTGCTAACCACTGAGCCACCGTGGCAATGTCAAGTAGGTTGTATTTGTTGCGATTGTAGAGGTCAGGCAGGTGGACCTTGTAGAATACGAATTCCCCAATTCAGGTTATTAATCTGGTGCAGTCAGGGAGCCCTGGCTGACAGACAAAAAGAGGAGTGTCAGGTATTCTGACACCCTGAGATCTGGCTGTGAGAGAGCTGGACTAGTATCAAGGACTTTCTATGTGTAAATAAGGAGTGACTTGGTGACGGGATACAGACCTCTGTGGACTTATTTCAGTGGTGACTAGACTGGGATTAATGATGTAATCCAAGACAGCCTACTAACTGAAGCCCAACTGGACTTCAAACAGGCACTACAAATGACTGCATCATTGGAAAATGCAGCAAGTGGAGCACATGAGTGACAGCATATGCCAATGGAAGTGGACACCCTCGCCAGTCTGATCTTGGGAACACCAGTTAGATGAACATAATCGCATAGCCACACTCAGGATTCCGGGTCAGCCCACAGCAAAACCCCAAAACAAATCAAAGCCTCAGCCAAATAGCTAAAATTTTCCTCAGGATTCGGGCTGGCAAGCCAGTATAGTTGCTGCCAGTATGCGGACTTGAGACAGGAAGAGAGTCCCACGGGATCTAAACTGAGTAAGAGAATGCATAGGCCAGTATACAGAACACTGCACACTAAAGAAAGTCCACCTACATCTAGTTAGAACAGTCAAATTGCTTTGCAACATCCAAATCCGAACCAATCAAAATAAATGTCTGGTTAAATAGTCACATAGCTCCAATAGAGGTTGATATCGGCGCAGTGATTGCAGTAGCAGTCTTTAATAAAATTTGCTCTGGACTCCAAGCCTTAAGTTTGTGCAACACCTCAGCTAGACTGAGAACGTATACTGGGGAACATTTACAGATTAAGGGTACAACTTCTGTTCCAGTTTCTTATGAGAAGCAGCAATTGGCTCAGGCCCAAGCTTGATGGGGAGAAATTGGTTGAGAAAGATTCGCCTAGATTGGCTCAACATTTTTTGATAGAAAACAGCCGGGTAAATGAAGTCCTACTTAAATACCCGGAAGTTCTTCAGGAAGGTCTAGGGACTATCAAAGGAGCCAACGCCACCCTGCAGGAAGCAATCCAATGATTCTGCAAGGCCAGCCCTGTGCCATTTGCCTTACGGTCAAAAGTAGAGGCAGAAATGAGGAGGCTGGACAGAGAAGGAATCATCAAACCAATACAGTTTGCGGGATCGGCAGCATCGGCTGTACTGATTTTGAAGCCTGCCAAGTCGCACCTTGTGGGGATTTAACAAAAAAAACAGTAAACCACTTCTTGCAGCTGTGTAAATACCCAATCCTTTGCATTGAGGATGTATACACAAAGCTAGCTGGGGGCTGACTTTCATGAAGCTGGACTTAAGCCATGTGTACTTGCAACTGTAGTTGGATGAGGATTCCTAGAGTAATGCTACAGTTAATACCCATAAGGGCTTGTACCAATAACTAGATTACCATTTGGGGTATCATCAGCCTGTGCCATTTTCAGTGGATGAAGAAGAACATTTTGCAAGGTCTACCGTAGGTTGCCATTTATCTAGCCGATGTGCTAATAGCAGGGATGACCAAAAAGGAGCACTTATAGAATTTTGACATAGTCCTTAGGCATTTCTCCCAGGGGGGCGTACATCTGAAAAGGGAAAACGTGCGTTCCAAGCACCCCAAGTGAGATAGTTAGGCTACAGAGTTGACAAGACTGGGTTACATCCATTGGAAGATAGGGTGAGGGTGATCAAAGGTGCCTGTCTCCCATGTTTGTATCTGAGCTTAGGTCTTTCCTTGGGCTGGTGCATTATTACAGAAAGTTCATACATAACCTGGCCTCCATCCTGGCACCTTTGCATCAACCCCGAAAACAGGGTCAGCCTTGGAAATGGGCATGTAGCCAAGCCATAGCTTTTGGTGAAGTGAAGATATAGCTAATGCCCTCTAAGGTGTAGGCACACTACGATCCCAAGTGAGATTTGGTATTGACATGCAATGCCCCATAGGTGGTCCAATGGTGAGGAACACCCAATAACATATACATCCAGGACTTTGGCCAATGCAGAGTATAAGTACACACAGATAGTGAAGGAAGGTTTGGTAGTCATATTTCGAGTCAGGCTGTTCCACCAATACCTTTATGGATGTAAATTTGTAATAATAATGGACCACAAATCCCTGCTAGGTCTACTTAAAGAGGACAAGGCCGTGTTGCCCATTGCTTCAGGCTAAATTCAGAGGGCATGCTCTAATACTAAGTGTATATAATTACAAGTTGGAACACTGTGCGGGAGGCAAAGTAGTGAATGTGGATGCATTGAGCCCCCTCCTGCTGGCAGATACACCACTGGTGGTATTGCCACTGGAAGAGTCCAAAATGATTTTAAAAATTTCTATGTCCAGTCACAGCTGACAAGATCAGATTTTGGATACAAAAAGATCCAGTCCTGGCCAAACTGAAACAGCCTGTAGTGATGGGGTAAACCAAAGGGCTGTCACAACCAGCACTGAAACCCGTTTGGACCCAGAGAGATTAAAGCACATTACAGGACGACATATTATTATGGGGAACAAGACTGATTGCCTCGAGCAAAAGGTTGCCACCAGGTACTGGCTGAGGTCCACCAGGGTCATGCAGCGTTTTCAAAAATGAATATGTTGGCAAGAAGTTATATCTGGTGGCCAGGCTTGGATGCAGACTTAGCCGCATTGATGGGGCAGTGCCCAGAGCGCCAACAAGGACAGAAATTACTGCGAGCAGCTCCCCCACATGTGTGGGAATGGCCATGTAAATCCTGGACTCGGTTACACGTTGACTATGCGGGCCCTTTCATGGGCTCAATGCTCTTAGTCATTGTGGACGCCCACTCAAAATGGTTGGACGTGCATAAAGTTCATTTGTCAAACACAGGGACGACAATAGAAAAGCTGTGAGCATCTTTTGCAGTACATGGGCTCCTGGCAGTGTTGGTCACAGACAGCAGCTCATTTTTACCAGCAGGGAATTCGAGTATTTCCTAAGGTCAAATGGTTTTCTGCATATAAGGACAGCCTTAGACTGTCCATCATCCAGCAGTCTGGCAGAAAGGGCGATCCAAACTTTGAAGGCAGGCTTAAAGAAATAACCTATAGCTTCACTAGATACCAAACTGCCCCAATTCCTATTTGATTATAGGACCACCCCCCATGCAACTACCCAGATAACTCCAGCAGAGTTCTAAATGGGGTGCAGACTCTGCACCAGGCTAAATCTCATCTTCCCAGGTTGGGGA